GCCTTTCTCAAACCCACCTCCTACCCCAGTACAGCTACCATCCTTTCCTCTCTATTCCATGCCTCAAACATCTCCCTGTACGTTCCATCTATTTTTCCCAGCTCAGTCACGTACACTTCCCTCTCCTTCTTGTACAACGGACATTCCGCGACTACATGAACACGGTCTTCGCATTCGAAGCCGCAATCACATTTGAACTCGTCGTCTTCCTCGTCTACCGTCCTATGTCTTCGTCGACGTTCTCGAAGGCCTATGTCCCCGGTCCTGAATTTGACCTTAAGCTTTGTTCCTGCATCCATTGGTCCATGTAGGTAGTCCTTGAACCCTATTCCTTCCTTCAACATTCCGTACACTTCTAGACCCTCCTTATCCTTGGATTCTTTCCTCAGATTCTGTTCTTCTCTCTCGGCACAAGCAACAGATATCTTCTCCTTGAACCCCTGTAGACCCTCCGTTTCCAGCGTTTCATCTTCGTCGATGTCGAGCCCCTTCCATACGTCCTCTACAACCTTGACCCATTCCGTGGGTTGTCTACCCCTCTTTTTGTTTGCCCACTTCGCCTCCCATACAATTCTCGGCAACCTCTCCTCTCCCATCCCGCACATGCGATACTGCCATGTCAGCTTCCTCGCGTCTCTTCCCGACCGTAGGGATTGGATCCCCAATTCTGCCCTCACGGCTGCATTACTTGTGCGCCTGGAGCATCCTAGGATGGTTTTCGCTGCTTTCATCTGCGCCGCCTCGAGTTCTTTCACTACCTTCTTATTTCCTTCCCATACTTCTCCGGCGTACTCTAGCGGCGGTACGATTACGCTCTTCAAAACCGTCAATTTGATGCGTGTATCGAGGTGCCGGTTTGCGAGTATTGGGTGCAGCTTCCCTGCTCGTGCTTTGCCCTTTTCCGCTACCTTGGACATGTGTGCATTCCACGAGCAGTCTTTTGCGATCTCTACTCCGAGGTATGTGTACTGGTCCACTACTGCAATCTCCTCGATCCCCCACTTCCATCTATGTTCTACTGGTTCCTCCTTGTTCTCGTTGCATACCATGACGGCACTCTTCTGAACGTTGGCAGACAATCTCCACTTATCAGTAAACTTCTTCGCCGCGTCAATTTGCAGTTGCAGTCCCTCAGGGGTGTCCGACATACCGACAAAATCATCCGCAAACAGCATTCCTGAAACCGACGTTTCCGTGTCCCCTACTTTTACTCCCTTCCGGACTGCCTCTACGACTTCCAACAGATCGTTGATGAACACCTGGAACAATGTTGGGGACAGCGTGCAACCTTGTGGGACCCCCTGCTCAATGTCGAAGAATTTTGACAGTTCTCCGTCTAGCATGACCGCGCTTTTCGTGCACTCTGTCATCTTCTTCAGCACTCTCCACATTTTCCCCTTGATCCCGTATTTGGACAGTTGTTTCCACAACCCATTTCTCCATACGGTGTCGTATGCCTTTTTCACGTCCAGGAAGAAGCAGTACGTCGGCTTTCCCGCCCTCTTTCTACCTTGGATGATTCTCCCTACCGTGAACACGTGGTCTACGCACCCCCTCTTCTTGCGGAAACCTGCCTGGCCCTCACTAATGCTATGTTCCTTCTCCAATACTCCCACTATCCCATCGTTCAGCAGCTTACAGAACATGTTTCCTACTGTGTTCAACAGTGTGATCACCTTGTAGTTTCCTGGGTCAGTCTTGTCGCCTTCCTTAAACAAGTTCACAAGTCACTCCTTCTCTCCATCTACTTGGCGTATGCTCGTTTTTCCTCACCCATTTGTACAGCAGTACCATCAGCTGGATCATCCCCTTCCCCCTAAACTTCATGAACTCGTTGAC